ATCAGAGAGGCCTGACTCTTAGGGAGGGACTGTTTACTTCAGAGGACCAAATTAATTACTCTGCTTTTTTTTTTTAGTAAAGCAGTAACTCATCAAATTACTATGTCAAAATGCTACAGTAATCTTCGAGGGAGGCCTGATCTCAGCAAAGCTCTGCACACTGGTGTGAGGATGTGTAGAATCTCACCGCCCTTGAGGCCATCGCCTTGCTGTCTGATGTAAACTCCATGTGCAGAGCGCTGGCTGTGGGACTGCTCCTTCACCTCGCATCACGGCACCCTCGACTCCATCCCTCCCTCACTGCCTGGGAGCATGCAGTGCTTCCATGGCCCTGCCCTTGGGGGCTGGGGTGGAGGCCCACCTGACTGGCTTTGTGATCTGCTCCGGAAGGCTGGTGGGTACCTTTGTGAGGTGGGTCGTGGAGGTGTGCCCCTGGGCACAGTACACGGCCTGGCCTTCTTTGGGCTATGTCATTCCATGTGGGCTCCACTGCTCACAGAGCAGGACACAGGCTGGGCCACATCCGGAGCCAGGCTGCCTGCAGAGGTATCTAGGGAGGGATCGCTGTGAGTGAAGGACACTTGGGGTGGCCCTTCCTGGAGAGCTCTGCCAGGGAGGCGGATTGGGGCTTGGTGATGCCTGAGGGAAGGATATCCCTCCCGAGGGACCCTAAGTGACAAAATGATGACAGAGAAGCAAAGAAGAGCACACGGGGTAGCCACACCCACTTCCTTCTGCCTTGTTCTTTTCTCCCATCAGACTTCCTTCAGGGGTCAGAGTTAGGTGTATTTCAGCAGGGGGTTACAGCCTACCTGAAGTCCCCTCCACCCACCAGGATCCTTGCCTCATCTATGGACTCCTGACTGTCTTCAGGGTGGCTCCAGGAGGTGACACAGGAGAGAGGTAAACACAGAGCATGGCCCTCCACCTAGTGTCTCCTGGGAGTGTGCTCCAATCTGTTTGCAGCCCAGAAGAGTGGACTGGGGTGAGGCATGGGTAAGGGGGACCCCGCAGGCAGGGCAAGGGGCTGCTGGCTCTAGATGGGCGAGGGTCCCAGCCCTGGAGCACTAGGCAGCCTGGAATGGACCATCTTCCTCAGAGGTCCCTGTGACTGGCGTTTCCCTTTGCAGCCTCATGGGACAGGTCCTGTGATTGCCTGGGGTATGTGTTTGAGGAAGTGGAACACTGGCGGATCAATCTTGGAGGAAGTGTCCGGTTCACGAACAAGAGTATAAGAGGAGTCAGGCTGGTGACAGTACCCCTCGAGCAACCCTGGGGACAGGGATGTGGATGGGCGAAGGCAGTGTGAGTTTGATAGCCACTGTTTCTGGCATAGCTGTTGTTACTGAGATCCTGTGACACCCCCTGCTGTATAGGGGCCACAGACCATGAGCAACCACTGCTCAGGGACGTTTAGAATATCTATCATCTATCTATCTATCTATCTATCTATCTATCTATCTATCTATCTATCTATTTGGTACAGGGTCTCGCTACGCAGCTCTGACTCAGTGATCCTCCTGTCTCAGCCGCAGTTTTACAGGGTACTTTTGGTTTTAATGCTGTGTATGTTTTACAGATGTGGGAGCACAGGTTGATCTGAGACAGATGTTGGTAGAAGCTGGCCCCGGGCTGTGCGTGGTGCACAGTTGGGGCTGCTGGCTCTTGTGGCTCGAGTGCTGTCCCTCCTCCCCTCCTCCGGTGTTCTCCTGATCCTGCATGGCTGGGCTGTGCTCTGCAGTCAGTCTTGCCCCGGAAGCGTTTGCCTTAAGCTTTGAATTGGAGGCCTGGGCTCCATCAGCCCGCTTTTCACTGCCAGAAGGAAAGGCCTGAGACTGGCCGCTTAGGAAGGCAGGAGGCTCACCTGGCCACAGTTAGGAGGCTCGGGGCCAGGCAGCTGCATCCCCCGCCCAGTTCTGGTGGGAGCTCTTCGGCAGGGTCCCATCACCCCAAGCCAGGAATGGCACTGAACATAGCACAAAGCCACCTCTGGGAGACAGCTCAGTGGTACAGAGCTGTGGCTGCCTGAGAACTACCAAGGGGCCCCAGAGAAGGACTTCAAGCCCATCCCCAAGACAGCGTCCACCGTGTTCCAGGACACCCCCGGGCCACACATCTTGCTCTCTGGGGACCGCGCTCCTAACACTTGGACCTCTGGGGCACGCACTAATGCCAGACACAGCACTGGGCTAAGACAGATAGTAAAGCTCCTTCCCTTTTGTGGGGCTGGGGGGAAGAAAACAGGTTGAAATAGGTATGCACAGGAAAAGTCTGGACTGATAATGCAGGCTATTGGTTCTTCCACTTCATGTTTTCTTATATTTTCTGATTTTAAAAGTTTGAATCAGTAAGACAATTTTAATAACTGTTTAGACATATGTGTTTCTTTGTTCTAAACTCAATAGATGCTGCGTAGGCATAAGCTGAAGGTTCGTAATGAGGATAAAAACAAGTGTTTCTAGTAGACATTTCATATTGTGAAGCTGGAAGTAGCTTCAGAGGCTTCTGGAAGCTGCTATTTCACACCCTCATCATCTTAGTTTTATTTTACTGAGGATTAAAGTGATGGTGGGCGTTGGAGTTGGAACAATCACTGACAGTCACACAGAAACGCAGCGAATGTGGTGGCCTGTTCAACGCATTTTAATCATTGTGTAACTTGCCCAGGTTTGAAGACAATCACATTACTAATCATGTCCTGGAATGTGAAGAACTCTTCCAACAGTGCTTCATTCTGAGGCTCATTCCTAACTGGAACCCACTCAGGAAGGCTTGAAAAATCTTTTGACAAAAGCTAAGTGTGTGGGCTCTGGAGTCATGAAGCCAGCCCTGCCCCAGTTCTGTCTACTCCTGGAAACTGAAGTCAGGGTCACCAACAGGAAAACCATCCTAGTGTCGCCTGTGCTAGCCCATCGTCAAAGGTGGCTTTCCTGTCCCCAGGGTCAGCTCGCTGGTCCTGAGAATCAGGAGGAGGCTGAGTTCCAGAGACAAACGCCTTCTGCCTGCCTGCATCACAGTGGTCGACTGGGTGGGCACACTATATTTTTTTTTCTTTTTTGGTACCAGGGTTTGAACTCAGGACCTTGCGCTTGCCAGGCAGGCACTGTGCCACGGAGCTATCTCCTCAGCCCCACACAGTGTGCATTTTAAACAATTAGAAGAAACCAAGTCACCCAGTCACTGGATTCCTCCATTTGGTAAAGGAGAACCCACTAGAGAAGATCTGGACTACTTCTGGAAAAAAACACGTCCTCTGAAAGTTTTTGGAATGATCTTTTAACTTCTGCTCTTCTAATTGGTTTGGCAGTGGAGTGAGTGGAGTTAGTGACTGATTACACTGTTAGTCACATGGATACAATTACACAGTCATTCCTTTATCTTTGTTCCACAGGACTTAGCAGGTGGCACTGGAAACAAAGAACCTTGCCAGAGTTCCTTTTTGTTTGCAAGGCTGGGCGAGATAGCCTTAGGGTCCGCAGCCCGGGCTGTGGGCCTAGACTGACTGGCTCGGACGCCTGGGTTACCAGGGACTGTCCACCTGACCTTGTGTAGGCGGCTTGACCTCTCTGCCTTTGCTTTCTCATCTGTGGAGATGGATGACTGACCTCCTTACCCTACACAAAAGGTACTTAGGACCAAACACTCAATAAATATTGGCTATCAATGCATACTCAAAAATCCATATTGGAAAAACCATTAAGAGGAACAGAGACAATTGCTACCGAGAAGAAGGCTGTTGGCTGGCTCTCCAGCCCTCCCAGGACCTTCCCATGGAGCCGCAGTGTCCTGAGCCCAGCATGACATCACCAGGAGGGGCAGGCAGAGCGCACTGCCCCGTGGCCTGTGCTGTCCCACAAGCTCTACGCAGAGAAGCACGGTCTGCATCCAAGGCTCAGCTTACACATCTGGCCTCGTCCTTTTTCTCTGATTAACAGGTAAACCATTCAAGTGCCCTGCAGAAATGATTTCCAAGGTCTCCACCTTGGTGAGGATCCAAGGTCATGGTGAGGAAGACCACTGTGGAGCTGCTGGGCAGGGCTTACATTAACCTGTCAGCTTTTCACGTTTACTTGCGAGTTTGCCTGAGGCCCAGCCCAACACTCATAGTACGTAGACCAGTGTGGTCACTACAGGAGGCCTGTAGTGGTGGGTGAAGCCCCAAGGCCTCAAAGGACAGGACAAGGCCACAGCGAGGGACACCTGACCCCAGCCTCAGCTAGCTAGATAAAGACTGTAGCTGCAGGCCTCTCACTGGGGAATGCCTTCCTGGAGGTAACACACTTCTAAATTAACATAATGCATTCCCTGGACAAGCCCTGGAAGGGACTCCCAAGTTCTGCCCAGATTCCTGCATTTTCTTTAGTATACACCCCCTTCCTTGGAAAAGCTGATAAATATGGGCTACCCAGAGAAGTTCTTGGTCTAAAACCCCAGAAAATCTCAAATTCCGTGAGAGGGTTTTTGATCCTCCCAGAGCGCTGCTGTTATTTGTCTCATTTACTTAAGCGTTCATTTTCCACTCATTTGGGAGATTGTGGGCTTGATCAACCTGCGATAACTAAGGGATGATATTAATCTGGTGACCTGGTCCACAGGGGTCAGATCTTTCCAGTGGCCGTGGGGACAGGACCCCACGTGTTCAGCTGTCTGGGAGTCCTGGTGGCCCCTCCAGCCCCACCAGCTGGGTGGATGCTAGCCAAGGGCTCTGTGCTGTTCCTCAGCAAGGCCTGGCTGGAGCTCAGAGCACTGCACAAGCCCATGAGGGCAGGATCTCAGCCCCACAGGGCTGCTGCCCCCTGCAGCGCAGCTTCAGGGCCAAGTCAGCACTCCACGTGGGCTGCGGGCCGCTTTCCCAGAGCTCTGGCTGTCACCATGCTGCCCCTTCTCTCTTTAATCACCTCCTATTTTTAGGCATTTTCACCCCACACCCCAGCTTGTGCCCTCCCTCCTGGCCACATTCATTTGCCAGGGTTGCCACAACAAACCCCCAGCCCAAGGGCTCGGCAACAGAAATGAGCTTTCCTGCTTTCCTCTGGGCTGCAGACCCTGGGCGTCTGCAATCTGGCGGCCGCTGGCTTCTTCTGAGGCTCTCTCCCTAATGTGCTGCTGGCCATCTTCTCCTGGCCCTGCTGCCAAACACACCTGTGACTTTCTGAGGCCACGGCTGTCAGGGTTCCAGCATGGGAAACTCAAGGAATGCAGTTCTTCACATGACGCCTACACACTAACTCTGAACTCTTAGGGCGGAAGTGGATTTTTCAAGGAATGCACACGTTGAGGAGGCAGTGGAGGGCATCCTTCCGAGACTACAGGCACCCCATGCTGGCCTTCCCAAGGTGGACTGCTGTGGCTGTGCAAGCAGGTCAAGTCGCCCTGGAGCACTCGGAGGCCCGCTATGACTCAGGGGAGCCAGAGCGCCTCTGCTTGGCCCTGGGATGCGGGCCCCGGCCCCTCCGCTCCCTGGTCACCAGTCACCTCTGACAGGTGCAGCGTAGAACCTGCAGTTCCTGCAGTCCCAGGTGCCTGGGATGTATTCGGTGCTTTCTTCCCACAGAAGCAAGGTTACTGTCATTAGCAACCAGGGCGCAGACCACCTAACGATCCCCATCTGCGGACAGCCAACTCTGACTGGCGCCCAGCCAGGCCCCACACCCAGCGTCTGGAATGAGATCACTCATCTGCTGAGATCTTGCCCTGTGCCGCTTTTTAGAGATGGGCTTGCTAATCACCCTGCTCAACTGTGACACCCAAGAAAAGCTGAGCGGGTAAAGTTATATGCAGCCACCCTGTGACCTGTGTGCACATAGCAGGTCAATAAAACTCAGGCAGAGTGACAATGACAGCTGCCTTGTGGCATTCAGAGGGAATCGAGCAGTTAATTCTGTTTGGGAGCCTCGGGGACCCGTATATCATTACAACTCAGCTGCACAGAGAGAAGCGCATAAGCCACACTCGGGGCGAGCACAGTGAGCCCAAGCTGCGCGGGGACCCTCTTGGGGTCATCTCAAGACCTGGCAGAGCCTCTGCCACCAGCCTGATCCACACAGCAACCTCCTGGCCACGGCTCTGCTCTCCCCTCTGTCGTCACTGGCTGCAAAAACTGGACAAGTTCCTAACCTTGAAGGGGACCAAGAAGAACAACAGGACAGGCGGACGTGATGGGGGTTGGGAAGTCCAGGGCCAGCACCAAGGACAAGGACCCCAAGAGGGTGCTGCTGCTGAAGGGGAGGCAGAAATTTTCCTCCTGGGATGACATCCTGCTCTCAGGAAAGGACCCTCGGTCCCTGCTGAAGCGGGGCATGTGCCATGTCAGCTTCAGCTTGGTCACCAAAGGGATGACTGATGTTCCCGACTTTCTGTGGGGCTTGTCAGAGGTCCAGCGACTCAATCTGTCCCACAACATGCTGCGGGTTCTACCTCCAGACGTGGGGAGACTGACTCGGATCGTGGTCCTGAACCTGTGCGGGAACCGGCTCAAGAGTCTGCCCCGGGAAGTCGGCCACCTGCAGAGCCTCAAGGTGCTGTTCGCCAACATGAACTGCCTGGCGGAGGTGCCCGCCGAGCTCAGCTTGTGCAGAAGCCTGGAGGTGTTGAGTCTGTCTCACAACCGCCTGTCCCAGCTTCCAGCCAGCCTCGCCGACCTCTCCAGACTGCGAAAGCTGAACATTAGCAACAATGAGTTTGCGCACATCCCCATCTGTGTGTTCTCCTTGAAGGAGCTGGACTTCCTGCACGTGGGCTCCAATCGCCTGGAGAACGTCGCCGAGAGCATCCAGTGCCTGGCCGGCCTGCAGATCTTCATCGCAGAGAACAACAACATCCACTCCTTCCCCAGGTCGCTGTGCCTCGTCACCAGCCTGGAACTGCTGAATCTGAACAACAATGACATCCAGACCCTGCCGGACGAGCTCTACCTGCTGTGCAGACTGAGGAGGATTGCGTGGAACCCCATGGACAAAGGGCTCCACATTTCCCATAACCCGCTCTCCAAGCCCCTGCCTGAGCTGGTGGAGGGTGGCCTGGAGATGCTCTTCAGCTACCTGAAGGATAAAAAGCACAACTGATGTGGACACAGGAAGCTTGGACGGGAGCCAGTCACGCAGACCCTGGGGCTGGAGTTCTTTCCCTCCAGTCGAGGCCTGTCCTTGAGCTCTCAGCCTGAGCCGGTGTTTTGCTTCCACTGGTTGAATTGTTATTGCACATCTGCCTGTGGGAAGCGTCTGCTTATGACTCTGTGTTCTCAGTGACCACTAGGGTAGCATGTTTATCTCATTCTCAACAGACAACATAGCAGGTTTTTGGTTTTAGCCAAAGAAAATGTTTCGGGTGTTTTTTTACCCTTGAATGGGAGGCAACCTACAGACAGGTGGCTACCGCACGTCCAGTTCCTGTGCTTGCCGCTACAGAGGGTCCTTAGGACCAGGGACCAGAATGTAGCCAGGCCCCAGGGTGCCAAGGACCAATACAGGTACAGTTTTTTCTTGTGACTGTGGGGGAACAATCATAAGAGTTTTTCCTTTAAAAATGCCTGCAGGGCAATGATCAGGCCGCGTGTGTAAATCTGGTGGTATCAGTAGTAGTTTGGTGGTTTTCAGACAATAAATACCGGGTGATGTCAGTGTGTGGTTTCTGCCTTTTTTCCAGTTGTACCCCTCCAGGAGCCACCTCGCGACCCCTCTGCCCATCAGCCAAGTCTCTGCACTCTGCATTCACTTCCTGGATTTGCTCTCTACGGGATAGGCTGATCCGTGGGCAGGACAAGGAGGAGAGGTGCAGACAAGCCCCACGCAGGAAGTGGGCACCTTCCCAGCCAGGCACCTAGCCAGGGGGGGTGGGTCTTTGCTACTTGGCTTTCGCATCTGTGCGCTTTAAAAAACGAGTTCCGTGACATTCAAAGCTCTTTACACAAACGATTCTGTTTTGCTTTTGATTTTAAGAGTACGCAGCTGTTAGAGACATCAGCAAGCGGTGGCCGTGCTCCGGCACCAGGGTCACTGGATCTTCCTGCTGTCACGGCAACCAGAGTGCAGGACATGACTGTCTCCTCTGGGTGAAGAAGCCAGAACGCAAAGGCGGCAGGAAGGAGGTGCAGGACACGGGGCTGGAAACCTCCGAGGGGCAGCGACGTCCTGTTCTTTCTACCCGCTGAGCAGGTTTTGGAGGAGGAGACCGGCCCACATGGGTTTCTGCCACGTGCAGTAAGCCATGAGCCCGGCCAGCCTGAGATCAAAGCAAGAACAACACACTGCATGGTGTAGACCTGCCTGAGGGCCAAAGTTTAGCGAGGAAAGCACAGTAAGCAAAGATCACAGAGGAGCCAGCTGAACCCTCCACTTCCGCAGCCATGTGACCCTCGGCTCCCCGCCCCACCCCCACTTGGAGAGGCGCACAGGCGCCTGGCGCGCAGTTCCTCTGAAGCGTCTGGATTTAGGCAGGCCTAGCGTGCAGCTGTCTCACTTTTTTAAAGAAAGCGCCCCTAGGGGGTCGAAATAGCTTATTCATAGGAATAAGTGATTTTCCCCAAGAGACTACAAAATCAGTTCTCCCAGCCTAAAAGGAGGCCAAGTGCAGCCGTGCTCATCCCATCCTGCAGTCCTGTAGTTCCATATTCAGGTCTGTGCGTGAGCTCTGGTGCGCCACTGAAGAAGTCGCTTCTAAAACCCGCTCCAGCGGCAGCTGGAGAGCCGTGCCTGCCAGGCCCGCGGGGGCTCGCGCCCCAGTCCTGGCCCGAGTTCCCTCACCTATTCAAAGCTCTTGGTGGAATTCTCCCTGGCCCCTCGACTCCCGCGAACTTGTGGGGTGAGAGTTCCCGAGTAGAACTGGGCAGGACACTCGCGGAGGCTCTGGCAGAAGCCCGCGCAGCTGTCAGACAGGCGCGGCGCGTGCCAGGATGGCGGCCGGCGGCACCTGCTGCCCCTGGGCGCTCGCGTTTGCACGACCTTGCTGTGGGCAGACAGGAGCCGAGGACAGCAGCTCCAGGGCCTTGCTGCTGAGCCACCGCTTCACTGTCTCTCCTCAGCCACTCCAACCCTCAGCAACTACTCCAGGGGACAGAGGCAGCCACAGTTTGAAGGTGACCTGAGAGCTTATTACACTCTTTAAAAGAAGAAAACCTGGTGTCAGTCCGACTGCCAGCTGCCAAGGGTGTTTCTCAGAAGTAGAGAGGCAGGATTTTCTTTGTGAACACTGCACTGAGAAGTCACAAAAGTGTAGTTGTCGACTGTTGTGCTTTAGATATTGATTCTTTGTGAATCCCAGTTTTTATTGATAAAGGGAAGTGCTGAGCAACACACTGGTTACCCTGCTTAGTTATTCGAAGCCCGACCAGGGAGGGAAGTTGAGGTGACCTTCAATGTCTTTGCTGTCGGATCTGCCAGTTTGCTGACTGGCTGGGAAAGGCTTCATGCCTGTCTTTGGACGTTGGATGCCACCGCAGCCAAATCATTTCCCAATACCCTGGAGCTGCCGAATCCAGGCCCAGTGGATGGCTACGTTGGCTGTGGAGTGTATTCAGTCACTAAATGAATATGAGCTAATTGGGCACTTGAAGTGGAGTCTGGTGATGACATTGCGGTCTTCATGTCACTCAGTGTTGCGCACGACCTCGCCAGCAAGGAGACACAACACACAGCTCTTCCTTCAGCGGTTTATTCAGGCCCCTGATTACAAGCTTCTTCCTTTTTCAATCCCCCAGCCCTTGGCTAATATATACTCC